AGTTCATTTTTGCCCGGGCTTCCCAGGATCTGACTTTTCTTAATTGTAAACGAAAACACAGACAGGGAACATCTCAGTGAGCATATTAGAGCTTAAGGAATCATTTTAAGGTAAACTACCATCCAGGTCAAGAACTGTGCTGCCTCCCAGGGAGCCCCTCCCTGCACCCCCTGTCAAAATCACAGCCCCTGCCTCCCCACCTCCCTCCAAAAGTGACCGCGGATCCGACACTTCCTTGTGCTCCTTTGTAGCTGATCAGTGGGGCATACATCCCTAGACACTAGAGTTTGGTTGTGCTCTGTTTTCTTTTTTTCAAATATGCCTTTGAGTTTCTCAGTCAACTGGTTCCCCTCCATCCCTTTCTTTCCCTTACGACTTGTCTGTTGAAGGCCCTGGGGCCCTATGACTGGTTTTCTTACAATCTGGAAATTGCTGATCTCACATTCCTGGCATAGTTCAGCTTGTTCCTCTGTCCTCTGGATGCAGGGGCTCGATCAGACCCAGGTTCTATTCCTCTGGCAAGACCACAGAGAGCGCTGGATTCTTCTAGCAGGAGCCACGTCACGTCTGAAGCCACATGATATTAACAGCCATGGGGGCTCAGTGTGTCCAGATCCGTTCCCACATTGGGAGTTAACAGCTCTTCTGATGCTCTCTTACCCATTAACTGGGAGACGCTGCTCCTTACCTACTCTTTGTTACTCGTGGCACGTTTTGTGTGGGAAAAGCAGAATCAAGGTTTACTCACTCCCTTTACTCATTAGCTTTTAAGAGCATGAGCTCGCTCCCTGTCATCCTCTGAAGGTGACCCATTAGCCGTATTGTTTTCCTCGCACCATTACTGTAGTATTTTTTAGTATCATCGGTATTTGTAGATTTAAACACATTTGATGTATTTCAGTCCTTTGCAATTTTATTGTCTTTAGCCCAAGTTGAAAATGTCCCCCGCTTTGGCCAATAGAAGCTTCCTCAGTCTGGCTCCTGAGTCTCTTGGGCACGACCCTAGTAGTATTGACAGCTTTCTGGCTGTCTTGCTCCTCTTATGGGTCACATGGCGTCTCCTTTGTTCCTGGTCCTCATCAAGAATCCTGATTCTCGAGGATACAGGGAATGAAAGCATTCAGACATCCCGGTCGTCTTCTGCCATTGGAACGTTGAATTTGCTGCTGAAAAGTCTGATGATCTATTTTTTCCCATCACAAATCACTTGCTTTCTCAGCCTAGATGCCCGAAAGATTTTTTCTTTTTTTCTTTTTCTTCAGTCTAGTAGTTTTTCTAGACATGTCTTGGTGTTAATCAGTCTGGGTCAAAA